ACCAGCTCATTGCCTCCTTCCACCTGGTTCCCGGGCCTTCACCATCCTATTGTCCGTGTCCATAAGTAATGCATATATGCTTATATTTGGATAATTTCTTCCTGCCCCCCACCCTTCCTTATGAGATTCCTCAGTCTGTTCCATGTTTCCATGCCTCTGAATTTATTTTAGTTATCAGTTAATTTTGTTTCTTAATTTCTTGTTCATTTATTTTAATTTTTAGATTCAATTGTTGATAGATATGTATTTATTGCCATTTTATTGTTTATTTTTTTAAAAAAATATTTTTAATAATTTCAGAGTGGGAGGGAGAGGAAGAGAGAGAAAAATCAATGATGAGAGAGAATCATTGATTGGCTGCCTCTTGCATGCCCAACACTGGGATTGAGCCTACAACCCAATATGTGCCCTGACCAGGAATTGAATGGCCATTTCCTGGTTTCTAAGTCAACACTCAACTGCTGAATTGGAAGGGCTTGTTCATATTTTTTATCTTCTTCTTAAAGAATATCCTTCAACATTTCATGTAATACTGGTTTGGTGGTGAGGAACTTCTTTAGCTTTTTCTTGTCTGTGAAGCTCTTTATCTGACCTTCAATTCTAAATGATAGCTTTGTTAGGTAAACTTGGTTGTAGGTCCTTGCTATTCATCACTTTGAATATTTCTTACCACTCTTCTCGCCCGCAACATTTCTGTTGAGAAATCAGCTGACAGTCATATGGGCACTCCCTCATAGAAAACTGCTTTTCTCTTGCTGCTTTCAAGATTCTCATTAAGATCCTTGAGTAACCTCTTAACCATTGTTTTGAACTCTGTTTCCATTTCTCTCATTTGTGACATATGTCTTTGTCTCTGCATTTTGGTTGCTTCCCTGTGTTTGTTTCTATGAATTAGGTAGAGCTGCTATGACTCCTTGGTAGAGTGGTTTTGTGTAATTGGTGTCCTGTAGGGCCCAGTGGCTCAGCCTCCCCAGTCACCTGAATTGGGCACTCTATGTGGGCTGTGTGCAAAGTCTTGTTGTTGAGCCTTGATTGCTGTTGACATCACTAGTAGGAGTTGACCTGCAGGTCAATTGGCTATGAAGACCAGGGATGATTACAGTAGAAGTTGCTGTGCAGGATACACTCCTATGGAGCAGGATTTGCTTCAGTGGGCTTTGGTGCTCACTGAGACTGCCCCTTGAATGTATCACTTGTGGATATGTAGAGTTGTAATTGGTATGGTCTGAAGCTATCCACTGGGTGCACTGGCTCTGGGGTCTCTTGGAAAGTGCAAAGTCAGCCACTGCTTGGGGCCCCCTGGCAGGAGCTACAGAGAGATCTGCAGAAGGCTGCTAATTGTATTGAGCTTGGATGTGCCCAGGTGATACCCAGCTGTGAAGCAAGACAGGCTGGTGCTAGTGCCAGATCTTGGGCCTTTTATTATAAGTGTGGGGCATGCTGACACTAGGTACTGCTTGTTTGAGAGATTTTAATAGTCTGATGCTTGAGCCAGGCAGGTCATTCATATAGAAAAGCCACAGCAAACAGCTTGAGTGGGACTGAAAATTGGATGGGACAGGGTCTCAGGGAATCACCAGGGCAGAGCAAACAGTGTGGGCTAGGCTGATGGAAACTCAGATATGGCTGCCAGTCAACTCTGTGATGGGGGAGGCCCCAGCAAGGAATAATAAACCCTGGCAGCACCTTCATCTGGGAAAAAACTTCCCTCAAGTTCCTACCTGCATGCCAGACAATCCAGTTTCTCACCATATGTCCCTGGATTCCCCCCAGCCATTGCATAGAGGAAGTGGGACTGTATAAGTTCCTGCACCAGCCCTTTAAGAGGAACTGTGTGGGACACCAGCAGCCTCTGTGTCATTCAGGCACAACCCCTGCTGGTTTTTACAGCCCAAAGTTACAAGGGACTTCTCTTTCCAGCTCTGGAACCCTGAGCTAAAGGTCTGGTGTGGGCCTGGGACCCCTTGCTTCTCACAGGAGGCCTCTGCAACAGAGATATCCTTCCCAATAATAATAATAATAATAATAATAATAATAAATAATAATAAAGGCCCATGAGGGTTTAGAACAGTCTGCTCTGCACTTCCGTCCCTCCTACAAGTCTTGCTGTAGTTTCTTCTTTACTTCTCTAGTTGTAGGACTTCCATTCAGCTAGATTTCAGGTGGTTCTGTATGGTTGTTCTGTAGTTTAGTTGTAATTTTCATGTGGTTGTGAAAGGCAGCATTTACCTGCACTACCATCTTGGTTCTCCTCTGTTTCCTATTAATGTTTTAGATCCTTGTTCCAGTCCTTCATGGATCGAGTTTGCTTCAATTTGACAGAGATTTGTGGACCCCACAAGTCCACAGAGAATGAACAAATAAATGGTATATACAGAATAAAACAGTAACATTTGGTAATAAAATTAACACCGGGAATACCCTGAGCCTCTTGTATCCCCACTGGGTTGGCTATTTCTAAAAGTCAGTCCTTTCGGAGCTCGGTTTTGTGTGGAGACAAATGTAAATTTCCAGGTATGGTATAATGAGATTATGTGGGCAGAGGAAGGAGGGACCATTTCTGCCTTGTCAGGCTATGGAAGACACTGAATAAGTGACGTGTGGCTAAAGTAAGAGTGTGCTGGGCAAGAATGAGGAAGGGCAGTTGGGGCAGAAGGGAATGGGGGGACAAGGCCTTAGGAAATACTGGGCACTCCACAAATGCTTGTTAAATTGAATACATGGCAAACAGACAGGTAGGCAAGCAGTTTGTAAGATGACAATCACCTTTTATATTAAAGTACCCTTTTTATTTAGGGTTTCCCTTTCAATATAGAAAATTATGTTGTCAATAGTCTACTTAATCTTAGTTTGTTAAACTCATAGGCTGTGAGTCTTCCACAAATGTGGCAATTTTATGTCAGTTTAAGTGAAGATTTCAGGGCAGTATGAGTTCAGTGAGCGAGTGCTAGGTGTGCGGTATGGCTTCATCCACACTTTTGACAAATATTTATTGAAGGTTTGTGAAAATTCACAAAGTTGAAACTAAATATTTATCCCAAATAAACCAGCACTCACATTTGGGGGGTGATTCAGCATTAAATGGTTTTACTTTTCACTCACAATCATTTGTCTTCATCATCAATAGCATCTTTAGGAAGAGGCTAAATGTGACCCTTGCTCTTTAGATGCCAAAAGAAGCCACATCAACGTAAACAAGTCCACAGAATATGCACTAACAGAACACGTGTTAATAAAATCGATCTGGTGTCCCCACAGGGTCGGGGTACACAGCAGCTATTTTTAAAAGCCAGCAAACCTTTCTTCCTGGAAGTATCAGGGGCTTAGAAGTTCACCCATAAGGACCTCAGCTGTGGGTCAACTCTCCAGGAAGTCTGGTGCAAGTTTCCTCCGGGTGGAAATGAGTCACCAACAATCGCCTTCAGATTACGTTTGGCTGGAGCTCAGAATGAGTTCAGAACACAAAACACGCAGAGAGCAACAGGACTCATTTCGTAGTGGTTCATACTTCTTTGGTCACTTATCAATTTCCATCACTGACATAAATGATGTAGCTCCCTTTCAAAATCCGAACATGTCCACTCCAAGAGGAAAACAGGTCCTCCTAGCCTAGGTTTAGAGCACATGTGTCAAACACAAGGCCCGCGGGCCAAATCCGTCCCGCCAGGCCTTGCAATGTGGCCCGCACCGCGCTGTCATCACTGCACTCCACTGCGTTTCCATCACAATGACAGTTTATGACTGTTCAGTAAACCATTCGGCCCGCGATTTAGGCTGGATTTTAGATTTTGGCCCCTTCTCTGATTGAGTTCGACACCCCTAGTTTAGAGAATGGACTTAATGTCTCTGAGGCTAGGGGGCCCTAGAGGGCATGGGTTCTGACCTGGACACAACTCTCCGGCCCCGCCCTCGTTGGGACGGAGGAGAGGAGGGACACTTCCCTAAGTTCATTACTGCCAAGAGGAGGCCAGGTCCTCGAGTGGAACTGGAAGGGTGGGTCGGATGTGGGGGGGCCTGGGAAGAGAGATTTCCAGGGGGCTGGAACTTTGCGCAGAAAAACCAACGGGCATTGCCCAGGGCCGGGAGCGGCCAATCCCGGGACCTCTCCGGCAGCTGAAGACCCCCGGCCATCCCAGGAAGACCGAGGCCCACTTCCGGGTTCGGAAGCGCTGCCTCCCGGCCCCTCCCCGCACCCAGTTACGGGGTCTCCGGGCGCATGCGCAGCGCTCGGCCGCCGCTCTGGGACCGGCCCAACTTACCCTAAACAACCACGCCGCTCCCCTCCCTCCCGTTTGGGGCATACCATTCCCGTGTGTGGGGGGCAACGCGCCCCCAAGTAATCAGGGGTCGGCTGCCCTTTTTCAGACGTAGGAATGGGGGAAGGTAGGTTTGCCTCAGATTTTAAAAAAGTCCCCAAAATAAGAAAGCCTTAGGCCTGTCGCCCAGTGAAAGCCTCCCTCCCGGCCCCAAGCGCTTCCTTTGAGGAGCTGAACAAAGTGGCACGCCCGCCTCCCAGCTGATCAGCTGCTGGGCTTTGGCGGCGGCTCTCCCGGGCGAGACCATTGTGACTTCTTGGGAGGGGTGCGCGCGTGAGGGAGGGCGGGGGAGGGGCGGCCATTGTCCGGTCAGCGCAGCCTCCGGGGGAGGGGAGGGCGAGCGGGACCTGGAGCTTCACTGAGGCCGCTGCTACGCCGGAGCCGGCGGGGGCCTCGGGTCCTTCCCAGCGCGGCCACACAGGACATCGCTGTGGCTGGGAGCGGCGGCGGGAGCTGCCGAGGGCGCCGGGCTTCCCCTCCGGCCCCTCTCCCCGCGGGGCCTCGGCTCGCCCGCACGCCCCTCCTCCTCGACTCCCCTCCCACTCCGCTGCGCGCCTCCCCGAGCTCCCCCCACCCCCCGGCCCCGCAGGCCCAGTGGTGCGGCCCGCCTCCAGCTGACCGGCCTGGAATCCCGGTTCGGAGCCCCGGACTCGCGCCCGCCCGCGCGCCCGCTCCCTCCCCCTCCCCCCGCCCCGAGCCCCCCACAGTCGCCGCCGCCGCCGCCGCCTCCTCCGAGCGGGGCCCAGGCCCAGCCGCCGCCACCGCTGCCGCCGCCGAGCTCCGCCGCCGCCGCCGCCGCCGAGCACCATGGGAGACGCCGGGAGCGAGCGCAGCAAAGCGCCCAGCCTGCCGCCCCGCTGCCCCTGCGGCTTCTGGGGGTGAGTACCCGGCCGGCGGGGCGGGCGGGGGCCGGGGCGCGGGCGCGGGGGGGCCTCCCGGGCCGGCCTGGGCCGGGGAGGCCCGAGCCCTGGGGGCTGGGCTCCGGCGGGGCCTACGGGGAGGAGGCAGGGCCGAGGCCGGGGAGGGGTGCCGGGTGGGGCTGGGGCTGGGGCTGGGGCTGGGGGTGGGCCCGGGCCCCCGAGTGCGCTGCCACCCTCCGTGATTCTCCTGCCCGAGGCCGGGGCCGACCGGGAAGGCCCAGGCCCCGGGTGAGGGGGGCAGGGCAGCGGGCAGGGGTGTGGGGGCGGCTGGGTGCCCCCTTTCCTGGGCATGTGGAGCTAGCCCTTGTCCCCCCTCTCTTCCCTCCCCTTGGTGTGAATTTGTGCCCAGGCTCCAGGAGGGTATTTCCTCTGACTTTTTCACCTCCCCTCCTCCCTGTGCCCCAGAGACTTGCATCATCACTTCCTAAATTATATCCCAGTGCCCCATTTGCTTTTAGGAAGCTGTTCACACGTCACCCATTTGTAAAGATCAGAATCCAGGCTGAGGTGAAGTTTTAAGACAGTGGAGGCCTCACCTTTATGTAAAATACATTTCAGAAGATCTATAAAACTTCCTTGCCAAAAAGAAAAGAAAACAAAACACAAAAACACCCCCAAAACAATCTCAAGTCAGCCTGGCTTGGGGACTTGAGGGCCAATTGGTTCAAATTCCCTTTTCTCCCCATTAAACAAACAAACAAAAAACCCCAATAAAAATATTCACATTGGCCAGCCAATATTATTACTTGGTCATTCTGTTTTAGTGTTGAAAAATGTGAAAAATGTTTAAGCTGAGCCCTTGAGTTTGAGAGCTTGCCACGTTTCTTACCTAACAGGTGCCTCGGTGGTACCTGAGGACTCTGGTTCCGCTCTAAGGAAACGGAGACCCCAAAGGCCAGCTTTTGTGATTGAGACCTTTTTTGTTTCTTTCCCAAAGACTCAGTTTATCTGGAGGTGCATAGAGGCAGTAAGGAAAGGATTATTTCTGGGGAGGACATCTTGGGAAGATGTATTTTATCTCTCTGAACCTAGGAATGGTTAAGGTGGAAATGAAGGCAGTGATTTTGGGAGTGCAGAGAAAGATTATGGACTGTATCTTAATGTAGATTTCCGTGAACTTTGTCAAATCCGAGGGTTATGATGAAATAGAGTCTTGTCTTCTCATCTTTCTGCCTTTTATCTAAAGTTTCCCAGTTGGAAGGACATACGTAAAAAGTAAGTTTGTGACATTACCAAAGGTTCTGAAGATGTGAAAACATTTTAGGTTTTATAGTCTTCTTTTTTGGTTTGAAAATAATAATTGGATTATTTGCTAAGGGCTATCTTGGATAGTCTAACTCCTTCAAGGACCTTAGAAAATCTTATCTATTTACTTAGATAGATGAGGAAGGAGGCTTAAAGAGGGTGGGTAACTTGCCCCTTGCATACAGGGAGTTCAGTGTTGAGCTGGTGAACTCTTTAGAGTGCTTAGTACCATCCTGTTTATGACATCAGTCTGCAGCCATGGAAAACTCGGGTGTCACAAGCCTCAGATTGTAACTCATTAGGAGGAGACGTGGCTCAAAGGAGTTGCCAATGGCAATGAATGCCCAGTATATATCAAAGTTCTATTTCCTGGCAACATGTTTTTATGTTCTTTGGGCCATTGTCATGAGTGGAGCCCTTATTGAAAGACTTATATCAAGACTTAAAAATTAAGGAATTGGAGTAGCCCTTTCCCCTTTTTTCCCCTTTAGACTGCAGAATTCTTTGTAATGCCAAGAGTTTGGTAGTAGCAAAGTGGGATAGTTAGGCTGATGCCATACTTGGCCTATATAAGCAATCAGGACTTCTTTCTTGATACTTTCAGTCTGAAATGTTGGACTGCAATTTGCCTAACGGGAGTAGTGACCACAAAACTAACATTTTTTATGATGAAAAGTGCTCTTTTTAATACGTAATGTTTTAACCTTTCCTAAAGGTGTTTGTAGGCATCTGTGTAGTTTGCATTTTATACCAAAGTATAATGAAATTACTGCCTAGTTTCCATCGTATCTTAACTGACTTTGAACTTTTCTTTATTGCATGATGACATATTATGTTCACTAAACTTAGAATATATTAAAAAATTTTTTCATTGTTTAAAGTTTTACATGTCTCCTTTTTTCCTTGATTGTTAAAACTTGAGTGCCTTTGATATAGGGGACCAAGGGGCCCTGGCCCCATTCCTTGGAGCGGGGAGCATAGAAAAGTAGTGACAGTTACAGTACGATGTGGGCGGTAGAGGAAGGAGCCTGGAGGAGGTGACACCAGCCTAGTCCCGTAGGAAAGGATGGAAGTAGGGAGAAGAGTGTTTCAGGCAGGGGAATAGCATTGGTGAAGGCCTGGACGTGGGAGAGCACTACACATTTGAGGAACTGGAAGTTCATTGGAGTCGATTGGTAGAAGGTGAGGCTTAGATGGTGAGAGCAGTTGATAATGCAGGGCTCCAAAGGCGATGCTTATGACTTTGGACTTTCATCCTGATGCTTTTATCCTTAGGACAAAACATTGCAGAACATTGAGCGGGTAGTGATGTGATTTCCTTTAATGTGAAAAATTATTGGATCATCTTGAAAGTCACCTGGGTGTGTGGCTATGGTTTGTGAGTCTGTATGACTATGACGTATTATGTATATTAGTGGGGTGTTGCCAGACTAACAAAAGACTTATCAGGAGGAGTAATACGGGGCAGTGATGCTGGTGGCCTGTACTGGTTTAGTGGCCAGGAGGAGGGAGAGAAATAGATATGAAAGCTGTTCAGGAGGTATCTCTTGCCTTTTCCTTTCACAAAAATGACGGTGTGTCTAAAAACTTCAGTCAGCATTGCACTCTGGGAGCTGTAGGTCTGTAAAGTCAGCTAGCCAGAGCCCACACCCAGTGCTTTGCAGAGAAGCCTCACTGCAGAATGTTCTGGCACCAACAAACTAAAGGCATTTCCTTTAGGATTGCTTTTTTTTCTCCAGTGCCTTAGGCTGCAGGACTTGCTGTACAGCATTGTCCAGCCAGGACACCCATCAGTTGGGTGTCGGTTCAATAGAGCTCTGGGGTCTTTCTGTGGGGACACAATTAGAAAGGAGAATGCCAAGAGGGGCATATGATGCAAATGTGTTAGTGCTTAGAACACAAAGTTTCTAGTTCTCTCCCTCTTGGTTTATATTGTGTAAGTAGTGACCACAAACATATGTAGGATAAAATGTTCATAATTTTTGAACCATTTTATAGAGAGGCCATCTTTCCATTGGAAAACTTTGCTATCTTGTTGAAAATGTACCTGTTTATAAAACTTGGAGGTTGTGCCGAAACCGGTTTGGCTCAGTGGATAGAGTGTCGGCCTGTGGACTGAAGGGTCCCAGGTTTGATTCAGGTCAAGGGCATGTACCTTGATTGTGGGCACATCCCCAGTGGGGAGTGTGCAGGAGGCGGCTGGTCAGTGATTCTCATGGATGTTTGTAACTCTCTGATCCTCTCTCTTTCTCTCTGTAAAAAATCAATAAAATATATTAAAAAAACAAAACAAAACTTGGAGGTTGTTTGCATAATAATGCAATGTTTTTAGGGTTAATGACCATAAACACCCCCCCTCCCCCCCAGAGACTTAAAACTTTTGGTGAAATATGAACATTTTCTTATGTATTTTAGGTAATCAGTACTTATGCAAAATACATAGCAATTTATAATTGCCAAATATGGAATGACATAATTAGTACTTTTTCTTTAGTTGAAATATACACTTTTAAACTATACAGAAAAAACACTTTTAAACTATACAGATATAAGTGATATTAGTTGAAGGTACTTTTCAAATTGTTTAGATGTTTAAAATGTACTGAGACACGAGGCTTTTTCAGATATTTTCAAAAGTTGTTGATAGAGCAGATTTAGAATATTGTAAAAAAGACAGGAAGAAGATTAAGACAAAAAGAATATACTGAGTGTATTATAGGATAATTGATAGGATGTTTAGGTAGGTTGAGGAAAGATGGATTTTTTTTCTCTCATTCTTAATGTTTATAAAAATCAATTACTATTATTAATACTTTGCTTTTCATTTGGAGACAATCTATCACAATGTAATTTTATGAAAACTTTGGAAAGTACTATTTCTTCTGTAAATAAGTTTAGACAAATGTTCAGTCTGGTATTAGGGAGTAATGGAGTATTTAAATATGGAATTTATTGGGTAAACTGTGAATTGTTTTGATAAAAAAAGCCTTCTAATGAATCATTTCATAAAAAATATTAGGCCAATATATATTTTTTAGGGAAATACATTTTATTGGTATTTCACCTTTGTGATCTATTCTGTTGAAGCATTGTACTTACTAGATATGCTAGATAATTGATATATTTTAATTGATTATGTATGTATGTATGTATTTATTTATAGAATGGAGCACTGCTTGCTTTTTTGTTTCATTTTTCCCCATCACCATTTATCCACTCTATGCCCTCTTTCATCTCCACCCACCCTCTCCCCCCTAATCATCACAGTGTAGTCCATGAGTTCTTTTATTTATTTAAAAATTTTTTTTATTGATTTCATAGAGGAAGGGAGAGAGACAGAAATACCAACTATGAGAGAAAACCACTGACCTGCTGCTTCCTGCACCCCCGCACTGGGGACTGAGCCAGCAAACCCAGTCATGGGTCCTTGACTGGAATTGAACCTGGGACCCTTCAGTCTGCAGGCTGATGCTCTATCCACTGATAGAAACCGGCTTTTTCTCTCAATCCTTCTACCCCCAACGTCACCAAGAGCTGTCTGCCTGTTCTTTTATCTATGAGTCTGTTTCTAGATAATAGATGTATTTCAAATAAAGATAGGGTTATGTAGAGATCAATAGTCTTTTCCCACAAATTCTGTTCCTGAAATGGTTACTAGTAGAAAGTTGATTGAACATATACTTCGTTTATTCCATTTTACTTTTGGAAATCAC